AAAAATTGAGAGCAGCATCTAGCAAAGGCCACCTGGATAGTTAACACCCGAGGTTCCACCAATTGAGCAGGCCCAGCCCAATCCGAGCCCCTGCATAAAGTAGAAAGAGACAAAGTCCCAGCAGTACATCTCAGAGGTTTGTTAAGAAAGACAGTTTGGATCAATTCTACTTCGAGTACAGACAAACCCATTAGTGGAGTTGTTTTTGCTCAAGGACCGGGTTGCACATGGTGGATAATGCGGAAAGATGGAACAACACAATGTGTACCTCAGGGAGATCTGATGGTTGGGTGAAGATTATGAATAAATGCCCTTGTCTGTATATAATGTATGTGTTGTAGGGTTAAAATATATATATTAATTTTGATAATAAGTTGACGATATGGGGATAAGGGGTGGAATGTCCTGGGGTGACTTTATGATACTGGTATCCCCAATCGTCTGGTTTATGTTATATATTAAGTCCTGCACCTTTAAGACTGGCTTTGAGAGCAAGAGAGGGGGAAGAAGAAGCGCGCAGTGTGTTAAGGAAAACATCACTCCCACACACCCCGCTCCTGGACTGTGTTGCCTGCAGCACGGACAGACAGCGGGACAGGGCTTCTCTCTGGCTTTTAGTTAGTTTTAACTAGCTGAGGCAGAGGAGTTCCCTGGACCTTTGTTTTTTTCCAATTTTCTTGGATCTGTGCAAGCCTGCTCTGGACTGAACACCCAGCCAAACGCCGGGAGCTCACGCCTGTGGCCCACCGGGGCCTGGGCCTCAGAACTTTTCCAGCGCTGGAGGGACTGATAAGAACCTGAGCGAGCCGAGCTGCACCACATGAAAAAAGACTTTTCTTCCTAGACTTACCATCCCATCGAACAGCAAGAGGTTTTATTATTTAATATTACTCAATTTCTGTTAAATAAACAGCTTTTTCCACTTCTCTCCATGGAATTTTTTTCCTTTTCCCGGACCCGTTGGTGGGGAGGGGCATTTCCCTGTGGAGATCCCCATTTGGAGTTTTCCTTCCTGATTTGCCCTAAACTAGGACACTCTGTTTTGGAGCTGCTAACTCTATGGTTTTCACCAGTGCTGTCATGCCTGTCTTCTGACACCTGTCCAGCATCTGCAAGTGGAAGGTAGCCTGGAAATCAGGGTTAGCAAAATTCCCTACCCCTGTCAATAGATCACATCCAACCATGTACCTGGGGTCTTGTGGAGGCAATTGACTATTGTGTGCAGCTACTTTCACAGCTAGCTGACTCCAATTGGCTTCAAAGACTTCAAGCTGGATAGGCTGAAATAACACCTGAGCAAGGTGCCTAATGTCATATGGTACTAGTAGGTCAGAATTGATGACCCTAATCATCTGCATTACCTCTGCAGAACCCAGACCATATCTAACCACCTTGTCTCTAATGTCCAACACAGCTTTGAAGGATATAACATGGTGCATGTTAGGCTGTCCTGATTGAGGGTTCGCTTTAAGCATGGGGAAAACCTGGAGTCCTCCTTCGTGAGGTGACAGCATTCCTTTGATCCTGCCCCACAGATGTCACAGGAGCAGAGACAGGCATCTGTCTGGAGTTCACATCCACTGTACCAGATAGCTTGTTCCTCCCAGCATCTGCAAAGCCAGGGAGATCACCTCTAGACCCCATAAAATGGTCCAGAAGGTCCCATTCTCCCATCTTCAGAACCTTATCTTTGACTTCGTCCCAGAAACACCTAGGGTCCTGGACTGTGGCCTGGCATGGTGGGAGTGTCCAACGGGTACTCGAATAAGGACCCTCTCAATGTCCCCCACTCCGAACAGGCACCCGCCCCAAAACGGCTGCATCACCCCGAGACCCAAAGGTGAATGGGGGGGGCACACGCAGCTGCCCTGGGACCAGCGGTGGCCGGGGGATGGAGCTCCGCAGCGCTAGCCGCTGGATTCGGGCCAGCCCTGGCAGGGCCTGTAGCCGCGTGTGGTCCACAGCCCGCAGCAGACCCAAATAATGCATCCGAACCTGGCCCGCGGGAGGGGGGGCAGTGCCGACAGAGGTCTGTCATCACCCCCTCCCGACACTACAGGGCTCAGCGTGGTGAATAAGGCGGGCCCTGGAGGGCCCCAGCATCA